GGACGGTGCTTCCAAGCCCCACCCTCTGTGGGGTTTTGAAAAGACCACCGAGATGCATTCCCAGGAAGGCCTCTGGACAGACAAAATGATCCAAGCTCCTGCCTCAGGGCTTCTGGGCCCCTCCCAGCACTTCTCGCACCAAACAGGCCATGCCCCGGCTTGAGAGCTTAGGGAAGCAGTCACGTTGCCTCCGTGGGGCTTCCTGCCCTTCCAGTGGAGTTCTAGGAGGGGCTTTGGGCCCATAAGAAACACACGGGGAGGTGTCCCACGGCCTCCCAAAGCTGACCGCAGCCCCACCCTGTCCCGTCTCCCCCCAGCCCCACTTACCATAAGAACTCTCCACTGGAGCCCCGAGGGGCGCGTTCACACTGACCATGGCCAAGCCCACCCAGCCGGAGACCCGGGGGCATGGAGGAGCAGGGGCCCGCTCACAGCAGCAGCAGAGCCACCAGGAGCCAGTCCACCAGGAAGGCGGTGAGTGCGACCAGCTGCCACCACCCGGTTATCTTATTGATTCTTCTAATCACCCAAGGTGGGTGGATACGTTAAAGAGTAACCAGTCACTTAGGGAACCTGCGGCTGGGGACTGTTGCTGTCTCCATGGCAATGGCGACCTGGCCAGACCTGAGGTCCACTCGGGTCCCAGTCCTGCACTCTGGGGTTAGGGGAACCCAGAGCCAGGTGTATGGGGGCATCAGCCCCCCAATTTGAGGACAGGGCCTGAGCAGAAGGGGCTGGAGAGGTGAGAGTCCAACCTGGGTTGGGTTTTATGGCTCCAAACTATGGGTGTGTCACCATGCAGGAAGTAGTGGGAAAACCAAGGGAGGGGCAGGTGGAGAACTGTGTTTAGTGAGTGCCTACTGGATGCTGGGAGCTGCATACAGGCGTTATCACATTTAAATTAAACCTTGAGATGAAGAGACTGAAGGACAGAAATTGCAGGCCTGGAGTGTCACCGCTAGTACATAGAGGTGTTATCTTGCTTTCATCTAACATATTTATTGAGCACCTACTATGTGCCAGGCCTTGTGCTAGATTCTGGTGATATGGAAATGAGCAAAGTAGATGTACCCCAAAAACTTGTGGACTAATGGAGGAGACCGACCTTAATCAGATCATCATTCAAAGATACTGTTACAAACTGGAGGGTGATATGAGGGGTGGAGAAACATGGGTCTGCCTCCAGGCCAATGGGACAAAGTCATCCTGTCTGGCGCCTCCTCTGGTCTCCTTCCCCATTCTAAATTCAACCTGCTGCTGAAACCTGCACACCCTGTTTTAGCTCCCTGACATGTTAGACACCTACCACCTAGGTTTTTTTTTGGAACAGCCCCATTTCTTTTGTCTCAATTTTGGATCTCACCACCTGCTTGGGGATTCTGAAATCAAGGTCATTCATCCTGTTAGAGAGAACTGAAATGAGAACAGTGAAACAAATTCTGGACTCAGAAAAATCAGAAAACTCCAGCTCTACTGTTTCCTTGCTGTATGTTTTTTGGTAAATTATTTCATTTCCTTATAGAAACACCTAGCTCATAGTTTGCTCTGCCTCTAAAATAGCTAATTGATACATTCCTATTTTCTCCTCATAGTCTCTTTTTTCAGCTTTATCAACCACTTGAGAGGGACCTTCAGCCACTATGGATGGACATGGGTTGCACTAAAATGCCCTTTCTTTTGTAAAACAACAGTGATAACAAACGTTAGATTTTGGGGCTGGGCGTGGTGGCTCATGCCTGTAATCCCAGCATTTTAGGAGGCCGAGGCGGGCAGATCACGAGGTCAGGAGTTTGAGGCCAGCCTGACCAACATGGTGAAACTTGGTCTCTACTAAAAATAAAAAAATTAGCTGGGCATAGTGGCACACGGAAGGCTGAGGCAGGAGAATCGCTTGAACCTGGGAGACAGAGGTCGCAGTGAGCCAAGATTGCGCCACTGCACTCCAGCCTGGGCGACAGAGCGAGACTCCATCTCAAAATAAATAAATAAATAAATAAATAAATAAATAAATAAATAAATAAATGTATGTTCGATTTTTTTTTAAAAAAGTATTAATATTCTTGGTCAGGCGCAGTGGCTCATGCCTGTAATCCCAGCACTTTGGGAGGCCGAGGCAGGTGGATCACTTGAGGTC